TACCAAATCTTTCCTTTTGTCCAACTGTCTGGTAGTTCAAATCGGGTTATCTCAATATTAGAGCGAGTCAAAGCAAGTTCATTTCCATTTTCATGCTAGAAGTAACTGGAAGAAAAAATTTCTTTTCATTCTTTGTAAGCGTGGTATTTTACAATAACATTACCTAAAACACTTCCTAAAATCAGTAAAGATGCCCGAACTATAGCTAGAACTCTTGGTTTCAATAAATGACCGGGATGCCACTAGGCGAAGTCACTTGTCTTGATCGTCTCCATCGCATGGGAGTAACAAGCAAGAACACTATCAAGAAATATCACTACAGGCCAGAAATCAGTGCGGATATTCCTTGTTAGTAATGCACAATTAAAAAAAAATGGCCGTGGTCAGAAATACTGTTGGATAATATAGCTATTTCAGTAAAAATACTTCAGCTTGATTAATAGTTTTGGCAATTTTCTCTTTCTTTGATGACCTCGATCAGATGTTTTATCGGATTTTTCAGAGTGCAAGGATAAGCTGGATGCGGAAGACTGCCGCGGTTTTAAAGGCAACGGATACTGTGAACAAATGCCGAAATTTGCTCAACGGGAATGCAGGTCAACATGCGGTCTCTGTTAAAAAATGTGATACATAAAAACGTGAACATATAAATTTCTTTCGAAATCATATGTGAATGGACGATTTATCAGAAAAGCAAGTACCGAATTTATGATAGTTCGTGTTGCTTTATCTGCTTCCAGTAAATACATGCTTTGAATAGTGATTATTTGCATGAATCAAAATAATGAAATTTTGCTCAAAAACGAAATGGCCTACATGCTAATATATTTGCTGCTGCTAATCCCCGCATATATTTCACACCAACTGGTTCATATTCCCACTTCTAGGATCGAATTGCAATCTCGAAGAGATTAACGAAAAGCCAATTGTTTGATATTCGTTTAACTGATAAAATGATACCCGTATTCCCACATTGCCAGGAAGTTAAAATGTCTTCGTTTGACAAAAATTACTCGTGCAGTCGAAGCTGAGCTTTTCACGAAAACTTGAAATACCTGGAACAAACTCGAGTGGGGTAGCATACTGCTGTCGGCTAGCGAGGCTGTGGGGACTGAGCTCCACTTGCCTTCGAATACGGCTTCAATGATGTACCGTCTAAAAAAATAGATAAATGTTTTCCCACTGGTGCAGTCCGACCAATGAAGTAAAT